TCTGCTGCTGAAGTGAAAAACATAAGAACGTAAAAGCACTAGCTATTATACTGTTCTGTATCTGTGTGCTATTCCTTCTGCAAAGAGGTCACAAAGAGCAGATACTATGAAGCTATAACATCTCTATAACATCTCCATTTTATGACATAGATCAGGGCTGTCCAGCTTCTAAGCCTCTGGGAGCCACACCAGTGGGAGCTGCATGTCATATGAGCTGCACCAGGGAAAATGTAGACCGCTGGGCCATGTGGACACACCCCACCTTGGTGCTCTGCATGCCTGCACAGGCACCCTGCACACCATTGCACTGGGTGTCTCCCCACTGCTGCACCATGCAGATGTGATTCCTCCCTCCTCTTGCAGCAATGTATGTATGCATGAGCACTCCCCCACCCCCCGTAGCTGCACTGAGCACCCCCACATTGCTGCCTTGCACGAGTGCAATCTCCACCGCCTCCATACAGCCCCAATCCCCACCCTTGTATGGGGCTCAGACTCACTCTCAGCTCCCTGCACCGTGCTGGACTGCCCTGCCAACTGTGGTGAGGACAGGAAGCATCCGCCAGGAGAGGGAGGTAGAGCCCAGAGGGTTGTAACCAGAGGAATGAGGTCAATGGCAGCTGTGCAAGAGCCCAGGGGCTGTAACTTAACCCCTCACAGCTACATAAGGACCACAGGCTACCAGTTGGAGAGCCCAGACATAAATAAGGACAGCTGTAATTGGCTATATTTTTTTACACATTAGTTGTGGTACATCTTGCAACTGAAGAATGTGCTGTCTTTGGATAGTTTGAATACCACTGCTGTAGTAATTTAGTTATATATGGACCATGAGGACCAGTAATACCAAAGGTAAAAAAACAAGTTTCAAAAATTATTGTTGACTTCAATGATACCTGAAGTGCAGTCTGCATGTGAAATTCCTATAGGAATTAATGGAAGATCCATACATAGAAGAGCTGCCTTTTATGAGAATATCTTGAACATCTGATTTTTTTTTTACATGGAATATGGTATTTCATTGTGTGTGATTAAATCTGATTTTACCAATTTCTTTTTTTTTGGGGTGGGAGATCAAAATAATGTGAATAATCTGTGATACCTTTATAAAAGGTCATAAAACATGGTTCTGTCATTATGATCTGTGAGTATTTTTGTTATCACTTTCCTGTATGAATTCTTAAGTTTTTTTATAAAACGTATGAAACTGCCACTAATTGGATGTAAATAAAAGACAAAGTCTGTATACCAAATGTAGAAAATGATTTTTAAAAATTGAATTAAAACACAATTGGAATATACAGGCATAACAAGTTGTCACATATAACAAGTTTTATCTAATTGCAATTTTATGATCTGTTATAAACTTGGGGGGGATGTTTTGTCACCATTTTGTGGATCCATCTGTGCATTCTGCAGTTTTACTTGGCAAATGCATTGCTCCTAGATACAGAAGTGCCAGCTAATATCTCTCCTGATTTGATGAACCATAGAAATGCATACTGTATTGGAAATCCTGCATGATGCTGAGCTGCTGCTTAGGTTAATCAGATTTTAATTTCTGTTAAATACAGAAAATCCCTTCCCCAATAGTTTGGTTTTTTTTAAACATTGGTGTTGCTTATATAAATCATCCCAAAAATCAAAATTTTCTGATTTTTCTGATCCCCAAAATCAAAATTTTTGGTTCTAAAAATTGGATACTGACCTAAAAAGAAGGGTAGAGGGTAGAGGATGATAGTTAAGGTAAAACCAACAGAAAGAAATATTTAATCACACAGAATTTACCTAACTACAGTCTTAGAAGTGAAAGCAAATACTGCATATGACATTAAAAATGTTGCATAATTTTGTAACTGCTAATAACATCTGTATCTAAATTCAGGATAAGAATGATTCAGTAGTATTCTTTAGTACAGGGATTTTCAACCTTTTTGTATCATTGTACCTCCCGATGGCCGGAGTGTACTCCTGGACACTCCTG